CATTAATCATTTCGTCATTAAGCTATTAAATATGGGTATATTGAAAAACACTCACATTGTGTAATCTGTTTTCTGAGCGAGTAATATTTTCCTCCGGTGTATGTGATATAAAATATATTGTTTACGAAAACCGGGTTTTCCGAATTATTTTACTTTCCCGCAGCAGATTAATAACATAAATTTCCTTAAAACATCTGATCCCTGATTTTTTCATTCCGATAAAATACCTACGCCGCCACTGTTCCTGCATGGTGTAATTTATTTTCCCCGTTTTTATATATAGGTACCGATCCTGCGGTTTTTACACATAAGAGAATATTATTATTACGACTTATTTTCGCAGCATTCGGCTGCTACGGAGGAGTCTAAACCCGGTCGCGGAAAACCGCCATAGGACGAATGAGAATAAAGAAAAAAAAAAACGTCTTTGCTATAGGTACCTACCGACTACACTCCGGTGCACGCGTAGCACTCGATTACGTTGTTTCACGAATTTCCCGTTTGTTTTTGCGCCGCGAACACGAATATCTATCAAACGCAAACACACTGCCGTAATATTATTATATTATATACCCACACTCGATGATAATATTATGGATTCCATTGTACTGTACTCACCTATATATGTGGAAATGTGCGCGGCGGCGGTCGTAAAAATTCATCACGCGAGGAAGGGAAAAACAGACGAAAATAACAATAACTACGGGTATCTCGAGAGTTCGTTTATATGGCACGCAGGAGATGAAAACCATCTGGTCGTGTAGGCGTAAGAATAATAAGCAAATTTCTTTGTATATTATATAAAGCGAAACAGTATGTGCACGTCTATATTATAGAAAGTTCACGGAAACCCGAAAACATCTATGCAAGTAGTTTGGACAAAATACAAACAATAAAAACTAAATAGTCGACAAATCATTGCTATAAGCTTTTAATATAATATAGAATATCGTTATTATATCTGGGCAACACTAAATTTAGGAGGAATAGTTGAGAAAGTATGTAATACAATATTTTTATAATATACTTAAAACAACCAAGTAATAATCAACAAAAATCAAACCGATATATCGGTCATTTTTTGTCGGTTTTTTTAAGGCTTTGATAAAACATATTTAAATGTAATACTGCCCCGGCCGAAAGTTGTGCATCTTTTAAAATGTGGCGTGAAAAACAAAATAGAACGATTTTACTAATCAACCAAGTTATTTCCGAGAAACGAAGTAAAAATTAAATCGTCTCATTCGCTGTACACTTTGAATCTGAAATCGAACGTTCTGGGATACAAATTTTGGAAAATCTTCATCAGTCAACAATCCCAGTTATACATATTTTATAGACACACTAGCTGAGTACTTAAACGAAAACTATGATAACGCCGATGAAAAGTATAATACACTGTTTTGTTTCCCTTTCAAAAATGTAATACTAAATAAATACACACGTATACCTATAATATACCTACTTAAACTGTTTTTCGACACCTATAACTATAATAATTTTAATAGCTGAGACAAAGTGTTGTCGTGTTCCGCGTTATTATTCGAAACGGGAATAATAAAAACATTAACACATCGAACGCAACGGCGAAAAGAAAATAATAATAATAACAGCTCCCGTAGCTCCGTTATTTTTCCGGGCATATTACCATAACAATTCCGTCTTATATCCCTGGTTTAATAGTGCGTATATTTTCCATATTCTACTCACTCTCCCATCCAAAATATTATAATATACAAATATTACAACCGTGTACCGAAATATCGGCTACACTCTCGCTCCGAGTATTATTCAGTCACCGTACTGCAGTCAACACGCCGAATACGAACACGGAGAACCAAAGATTATTAAAATCTATACCAAGTTATAACTATGTATTCAATAGAAAAAAAGACGGACATACTTCGTACGATGGGTGCAGCCACTATTGTTAGTGAAAAATTGGGAATGTAGAATATAGAAGGAAATTTAATGTATATCTTTGAGCAACAATAAACCATTGCTAACGAAAAAACGATTCTGAAAAAAGTTCAGTTGAGAATGTTGATTTGTCAAGTAAATTTATTTTATAGTAAAATAATAACATAGACATTAAATATTTTCTTGAATAATAATTTTTTAATATTGTATCGATTTTCCCGCTTTTCCTCCATTTTATCTCGGTTTTTCACATTTTTTGAGTAAAACTCCAAGGAAAATCAAAAAGTTATCTTTCTAAAGTACCTCCTCAGTTAGGTTTTTTATTTAGAAAAAGGTCTATTATTGTAAATCAGAGTAATATGGCTGGTAGAAAAGTTGTTCATAGGAAAAAAAAGTCCAAAATATTTTTTAACTTATACCTACTTTCGTACATTTTCCCGTTTCATCTCATTTATTGAGAAAACTCTTGAGTAAATCGAAAACTGAACTCCATAATGTACCATTCTAAGAAAATTTTCTTTACAATACATTCTTCGCTACACTCAGAATCTAAAAGAAATAAGAAAATTCCGAAACGCGAGTATATGAGCACCTCGATTTTTATGTGGAAATTGAAGTTTAAAAAGAGCTGATATTGGAGTGGCCACTGTTGTAGGTGAGAAGTTGGGAAGGTAGGAAATATAAGATTATTTCATTTATATCTGTAAGCAACGATAAACCATTGCTTGACGAAAGACGATTCCCGAGCACAGTTCGGTAATACATAATTTAAATTGCCGTAATTTTTTTTACCCCAACCTTCCTATGTTTTTTCGCGATTATTATGAAAACTAATTCGAAAATAAAAAAAACCAAACAAGATTAATAATTCAATACAAAAGGTCTCTTGTCGTTTTTCAATTGGAGCCATATATTTGTGCTAGAAAATGTGGTAGGTACTTATTTAAAATAACGAAATCCTGAAAAAATCGTATTTTTTCCGCGGTTAATCGTTTTTATTCTAAATACCGTTTCAAAAATCAAATAACCTATTTAAGTACCAATAAGATAAAATTGACTTTCAAAAAAAGTGCTACACTTATATATCAGAGCAAGTTTTCTATGATAAAAATGTCTACAGTATATATATAATAAAATAAAGTGCCATTGAAAAAAAAGGAAAATTGACCACGTCTAAGTAAATCTAATATAAGTATTATTGCAATGTTTCAAATCTCTAAGTGTATTTATAACCGAATTACAGCAAAAAACTCCCGAAAATTAAAATTCCTTAAAAGCTCAAAAGTTTTGGTAATGATACCATAAGAAATTAAATTAAAAAGACAACAAAAAAAAGATGACTTTTCAATTAAATCATTTTTTTTTCCGTGTTCTTATAAATAATGAAATCGTGAAATTGTATGTTTTCCTACGTTCTTTCTTACTTAAGTGCTTTTATTTAAAAAAATGTCGTCGAAAATCAAAAATGACCCGTTCATAATACCATCTAGATAACTTGAACCCTCTGAAAAGTTGCATTTTGTAAAGATCACAGTGAGTTTACTAGGAAAAAACGTGTCTATAGATTAGAAGAAAGAAAGAAAAAAATAAATAAACATTTTAGTAAAACCAATAGCCCTCTCGCTACGCTCGGAATCTAAAACACGTCGTTGGACTCCCATCTATTATACTCGTATTATGACTAATTAATAACGAATTGGCCATTTTGTTATTTGTCTAATTATAGTTTCTCCAGGTTTAAGCAAAATGCTATACGCAACTTTGGACGCTGTGAGAAAGTGCATATTGTGATGAAAACGCGAATAATGATTATCAATTAAATTATACAACAAAGCTAGTGTAAAATAATCAGAAAAAATTAGGTCATTTAAAATGTTACAAATGCAGTACACTTCGAACAGTAAATGAAAAGAAAAAACAATAACCGCGTCTTATAAAATAAGCATAACGTTTTGCATTTGTAAGGTATAATATTATTATTATATTCCATCATAATCCATAAAACGAAATACCTGCTTGTATAATAATACCCGCAGACTAGATATTTGAAGACTTGTAAAGTTTTGCACGTGTCCCAAACCATAAGTATTATAGTAAGTATGGGTATATATAACTATTGCATGGGTAGTACTTTAAACGCATTATTACAGATAATTTTCAACAAGAGCATTTTTTTAAATGACCACACGGATTAGGTATAATATTATTCGTTTATTTCGTAATAATATTATACGCGTGTTAAGTACACTGATATAAGTCCGTACAATTATTGTACCTTATACGATAAAAACGAACGTTACCGTACAAATCAGAGCGGTAAAAAGTGACGATATTTATGTACAAATAACACGCGCATATAGTCTTGGCGTGTTGACTTTGTAATATTATTATTATGATCATATAAAACGGTCATTTTCTCGTCCCAACGACGATGATCATAATAGTATTATACTGAGTGTGATTCTTTTATTTCGATAATCTAAAACAAAGATTCTACGAATATGTATTTCAATCATTATCTGCTTATTTATGTTGTTTTCAAAATTTTACCGTTCAATACTTTTGATTTTCAAATAACGACCTACGTTTCTGGACTCAGATTCGAAAAGAGAATAGTTTCACTAATAAAGAACACATACACATTTTTTTAAATTTTAAATTGTTTACCAGATGAAAAGTACAGGAGGGTAATATATTTCTTATCAGAGATTTTATTTCGTATATAATACGGAATAATAAGGTGGTAAAATTGTGAAAATATCTAAACCTAACTATTTTAGTTAAAATATTTGGCCCCAGAAAAAAAGGGCTCAAGTCAATTTGTGGGAATTTACAGTTTTGTAGTTCTTTTTTTATTTATTTTTTTTTTTTTTTTTGATAGGTACCTACATAATTTGTGCCGCTTTATTTATTGATATAAATACTATAAGAGTAGGTATGCATATTCTAACAAATAGATAAAATAATACTAAAAATTACATTTACAAACCTAACAAACCTCCGGACACATCGGATTCTTTTAGACCTATAAGTCTCTTACCTTTTTTTTCTAAAATCTTTGAAAGACTAATTCTACAAGAATGTCATCTCACATCAACAACAATAATACTCTCCCCTCATCTCAATTCGGCTTCAGAGCCAAACACTCCACAATCCACCAAGTGCATAGAGTAGTTGACGCCATTTCAACTTCACTCGAACGCAAACAATATTGTTCCTGTGTGTTCCTCGATATCTCTCAGGCATTCGACCGTGTTTGGCTTGATGGTCTTCTCTTCAAAATTCGAAATTGCCTCCCTTCATCTCTATTTCTGTTAATTAAATCTTACCTAACAGATAGATACTTTCAAATTCGCTTTGGCTCGAGTATCTCAGAAATGGCTCTAATCCAAGCAGGAGTACCTCAAGGTGGTATCCTATCTCCTCTCCTATTTAACATTTATGTCTCAGATCAGCCCATAACTCAGGGCACTATTGTAGCTGACTTCGCAGATGATAAAGCGATAATAGCAATACACGAAGATGATCTAATTGCCTCGGCCAATCTTCAAATACATTTAGACCTTATTTCGCAATGGTACTCCAAATGGAGAATAAAACTAAATCACAATAAGTCGGTTCACACGACCTTTACTCTGAAACAAGGAATCTGTCCACCTGTATCTGTAGACAACATACCTATTCCGCCGTCTGACACCATTAAATACTTAGGCTTGACCCTTGACAAAAGGTTAACTTGGAAACAGCACAAAAGGTCCAAACGATTAACTTTAAACGCTCGCTCTCGCACCCTCAAACACCTCTTATCAAAAAATAAATTCACTAAACTTAGAACTAAACTACTCTTATATAAGTCGCTACTTAAACCCATTTGGACTTATGGTGTACAGTTGTGGGGGTCGGCCAAAAAAACTAATGTTAATAAAATTCAGACTTTCCAGAACATCACACTTCGCAAAATAGCAAATGCCCCACCGTATGTATCCAATTTAATCCTCCACANTAAACTTAGAACTAAACTACTCTTATATAAGTCGCTACTTAAACCCATTTGGACTTACGGTTTACAGTTGTGGGGGTCAGTTTACAGTTGTGGGGGTCAGCCAAAAAAACTAATGTTAATAAAATTCAGACTTTCCAGAACATCACACTTCGCAAAATAGCAAATGCCCCACCGTATGTATCCAATTTAATCCTCCACAATGATCTGCACATGAAAACTATTGAGGAAGAATCGGTAATTTATTACAAGCGATTCTTTTCACGTCTTGCCAATCACACAAATCCACTAATCAGAAATCTAAATACATTAACTCTGCCTGAAGCTCCTCGACGCCGTCTGAAAAGGAGATGGTGCAGAGACCTTCTAATCGAATAGCTAATGCTCTATTCCTCGCTTACTCACTTCACTCATAATCTTCTCTAAGTCATAGATTATCTTAACTTGTTTCATGCTAAGTGTTGCTAATGGGTGACTTCTTAACCCCGTTTCATCCTGCTTTTTTACTCTCTGCAAATTCACTTATTGTGCTTATTATAGTATAGATTGTGTAATTCAAAAAAAAAAAAAAAAAAAAAAAAAAATTACATTTTAGTTCTTATTTTTTGTTTAGTTACATAAATACACAAATCATAATATTCTATTATTATAAATATTTGATTTTCACTTGTAGCAATTTTCAAATTAATTTGCTTGTGTTGGAAACTATACAAAATAGGATTCCATGGGACCAAAGATATAATGACTGAAAAACTTCGCAAAATCTATTTTACTCAAAATCGGTAATCCACGCCATGATACAGATGAAAAAAAACGTCTCTGTATATAATTATATAATTATAATGCTCGTCTCGGAGTAACAAATATATGTGCTAACTTGATTCTTCTAGTTTTAATATCATCTTAAATTTCAATAATACGACTATAATGTAAGTCACACATGCTTATTAATTCACTTTGCGCACGTTATACACAATGTACACCAAGACTGCAACATGACGCATACAGTGTATTATCATTATTGTTATAAAGAGCTTAAACGGCTAGAAATATAATATTATGTAATATTCAAGACGCCGGAAAAGTCGTCCTTCAAACGAGTTCACCGAAATTAATTTAACAATATAATTTGAAAATGTCAAAACAGTACGCCCAACAGAAATATTACTCTATAATTTAATACGTGTACAGTTATTTATAACATGTATACGCGTTACGTAATCATTAAATGATAATCGATTGACGTCTCCGCTGGATACGTAGGTACCTATAATAATACAGGGTGTCTTACACTCCTACAGTATTATCCTTGTGTTAATAATTTTGTCAATATTCATTAATTTTTTTTTCAATCCTGTTTTGTGCGAGGGGGACACATATGTTGAGAAAAAGTAATTTTTTATTTTATAACCTTTTAAATATTTTCGAAATAGCCATTTTGTAAAAGATATTATTCTAAACATTTTAATGCATCATTTATATCCGATCAAGAGTTTCTAAGTAATACAGCCATTTTAATTTCTAGAAAATTGTTGTCAAAACAATTAATTTTCTATAGAATAACAGATTACGCAATAAAGAATCACAATCAGCACGGTAATTCCTTATATTCTAATGAATATTAATTGTTTTTCTATGCATTCAATTTTTTAGAATATATTTTACAAAACTCTTTAGAAAATTTTAAAAAGTGAAAAAAAAATTAAATTTTCTCTACATATGTGTCCCCCTAGCACAAAACCCGATTTAAAAAAAAATGAAGTTTGACTGAGTTTTTAGCATAAGGATAACACAGTAGCGCACTCTATATAATAACACAACAAAAAAAATATTATTCCGAAATCGTAATTTAAAAAAAGTCTGTACTTCTCCCGGACTGGTTAAGGAGAAATCATTGCAAACAAAAAACCTATTCTGAGTGAAGTAGAATTAATAATAGTATTAGTCATATTTTAATTTTGTTTAGTAACCCAGAAATTAACAAAAATAAAAACAATTTTTTGCATTCAATATGATATTTTTTTCAAATAATAACGGGCGTGAAAAATCCGCATCTATTAATTTAGGTACGATAATAACAATTTGGAGCCTTGTTGATTTTTTCGATTTTCCAAGGAGTTTCCATAATAATTGGTAAAAAACTGAAAAAACTTATCGGAAAAACAGCAAATATTTACAGCACGACCCGGTGTTACCAACTTCATTGATTTTAATTCATTGTTTATATTTCCTCAGTTTTTTTTTTTTTCAATAATTTAGCAAAACTGACAAAAAACCGGTAATAAGAACAGGAAAATGTACGAAAATAATGCTATTATTATTTTTAGTTCCGGTTTTTGTTGTTCAGTAAAGTTATAAATATCCAAAGAGACTAAAAATGTTTACAGAAAACTTATATTAATTGCTTTTTCTAGATGTGGTATAATTTTAAAAACATTTGAGTTGTTTTTGAACTATTTAAAGACGTTTTAAATTTGCGAGTTTTTTAAGTCGTACTTAGTTTTAAAAAAAAAAATTGAGTTTAATGTATAAGAATTTTATAAAATATCAAATTTTAACAAAAATCGTAAATATAACAGCCTTTAAAAATATGTATAACCGAACTTCGCTGCAAATCTTTTTTCGTTAGCAATGATTAATCGACGCATACAATTTTCCTTTAAGTTCCCCTCAATGTCCTGACTTCCAAACTTCTCATCTACAATAGTAGCCTACCCATCGTGTGAAGTATGTCCGTCTTTTTAAAATTTTAATTCAGTTAAAAATATTCATAGAAATATGAAATTTTGACAGAAAATGTATACTTGTCTTTTTTTTTAGATGTGGTAAAATCTTTCCCAAAAAAAGGCTATCTCAACTTCCTACCTACTACAGTGGCGCATTCGTCTCCGGTTAAGCTCTTTTTGATTATTGACTGTAATATGAATTTATAATTAATATTCATATTTAAATGTCTAATGATAATAATAATAATGTTATGAATTTATATTTAATTTGATATAATAATATTATATAAATATATTATATATATATATATATTTATTTATCGACTAAATCAACAACGGATGGACGGAGACAACGTGAATATAAGGTCGCTAAATATACTAAATTTGGATGTGTAAAATATGCCAAAATTATATCACTTATAATATTAGACTGCACAATATATATAAAGGGTTTGTATAACTGCGCAAAACCGATATATCAGGGGGAAGGGTCGGGTTGGGTAAAATACAACGTTTTATATTTATCTGTAACTATAGCTCAACATGTTTTTATTTTGAAAATCTATCGTTTTCGTTATCGCTATTCACTATAGTTACACAATTGTATTGTACAATTAATATTTACTACAAGTATGTATGTTTGTGTAGGTACAACAGAGGTGTTAAAAAACTAGTTGTATACTTGTACACCACCAGTCATACATGAAGGGTTATAGTGGATTTTATATTTGGTTGCCATGGTAAATCAACAAAGCCGTACAGACTACAGACAGATAAACGGATCAAGGGTTGTATATAGATTTAAGTATATATAGAGTTAAAATTACAACTGCGCATTCTGTTTTTTTTTCCTTCAAAACTACGCAAAATGAGTTCAAACACAAGTTATACAAGCCTTGTGTATATTCAAGCACTGACATTATAATATACTATATACATTATTATGCGATATTTCCGTTCAATAGATTTAATTTTCGCAAATTTGATTTGAATAATATTTTATTACGTGAAACAACTTGCGTAAAACACACAAGGTCGAAAATATTAACTGTAGCCCCGAGAACACATCATCACGCTCGTCGGAAAAATAATTTCGTATCGACAAATAATATTTTACGAACACTAGGTGATACCATTTCCTTTCTTCTTTTTTCGTTAGAGTATAAACGTCGATAAACGTGTTTAGATTTTCTCTGGATATATCGCGAAGTGGCTGGACGGCGGTGGGAATCCACCGGTGGCCGCGAATATATATATATTATAAACGTCCTCCATCGACCTGTGGAATTCACGGGCGCGCGCGTGAATTCGACCGCGATAAAATAATAATAATATAGTTCCGCCTCGTTTTCTAAACTCGCCGTCCCGCATATATTATAGTTAGTGTGGGGCGGCCCGATATTAAAGCATTCCAAAAAATACAGGGTGAACCGAAAAAAATTGAAGATTTTTAAACGTTATGAATATTATCGCTCAAACGATTCAGTGCAAAACTAAACGATAAACATTTGTTTTGTAACTCTTCTTTTGTAAATAGACTAGGTTATAAGTATATTATGATATTTAAAAAATCAACTGAAAGAGATGGTATGTAGTGGCATTAAACAATGTTTTAAGAAGGTGGGCAGGTAAAACGGTATACAGATCACTCGTTTCACCACCCTCGTTTACAAAACAAACTTACAAGTACAGTTAATATTCGATATGTAATAATTCAATAAAACAATTTGATTCAGATACCCATTATGGATCCACCACCAACCATATATTAAAAGAAGAGTAGCTACCGCTACCAGTGACTGGTAGTTTCAGCGCCACTAATGGTATAGGCTGCATAATATGTCGAGAGAGATAAAAACGTTGTCAGGATGATATCCCGAGAGAGATGTGTGAAAATAAGTGTATTTAGCTGCACGGTAGAGATGTTATTTTGTTCTTACCTGTAAGAATCCACGGTGAATTTAGATAATTTACTTTTATGAAAAAGAGAGGCGTTGTACGAACTCATCTGTTGGAGACTAGATAGACTACGATTTTTAAAAAAAAAACGTCGATATTTTAAGAGGGCGTGAAATTTACACAGACTGCAACCAGACTTCAACATCAGATAACAACAAAATTGCTCGTGCTTCCTAACAGATAACCATTTCCAGATAGGTCGGAGCAGAGACTTTCTCCAGAAGATCTATGGTATAATGTACTGAAATATTCGAAATAGCGTGTCGTCTATGATAGTTATTATGATGATTATTATGACGTGACTTTTGTATTTTTTGTTTTTTGTTAAATCACGTGGCGTGGCGCATACTTCATATGTCACCCGTGTCAGCCATGGGCTTCGGGAAAATGTGTCATCGTTGTGATTTTCGACAGCCTGACGTTATGATAATATAGAAACGGATCGTCTTTGACGACGGCGTAACAGAAATAGAAGTTAAACTGCGATGGAACGATGCCGATAATTTGAAGATGCCCGTCGTAAAGTAAATATTACGATTAAGTACAAAATTAAAATTTTCGCCGAATGCCAATAAATATTTAAATTTAATATGCAAACACTATATTGTTAAACGAAAAAACTTCAAACTTCATGTATGTTCTATTGTCATGGACTTTTCCTTTTCATCGGTCAGCTACCCTTTACGTATTTAT